TCCAGCTGCTCCCTAACAACACAGAACACACCGCAGCTCCACTGCTCCAGTGATCCTGCTGGGCTCAAATACAGATCCTGGTTTTCAGGAACTTCCCTGGTGACCAGTATTCTCCAGGAAAGATTCTGTGCTGTTTCCCTTCACATTCCCATGGAAGCTGTGCACAGCACAGGGCTGGGACAGCTTCCCAACACACCAGCAGCACCAGGACAGAGCAAGGCAGGAGATCTCTTACCTCTCTCTAAAGGAATCTCTTACCACCACTACTGTGTTCCCTCTCTAAAGTAGAACTAACAACTGCCACAATCTCATCTGGCTCCAGCACCAGCAACCCCTGACAGCCAACATCATGTTGTATATTAGAAACTCCTTCTATCCCTTTTTTTCGCCAAGCAGAAAAGCCAACCTACAGCAGACAAACTGGCTACTGAATCCAAATGTATCCATCCCTGTAGCAGTTTATTTACATTAGTATTATTTCCACAATATATTGTTCTTTCCTTGTGATTATAAACCTAAAAGGTATTTCTGTTAAACCTTTGCTAAAAAAAACACAAGCCAAGATGATTAGTACTATTGCTACAAGATTGATTTAAGTCGCTGTATTTTGTCCTCACTGTTCAAATTTTATATCTATAAATTGTATTTTGGATATTAATTCCTGAGTCACCAAATGCCTAAATTTGAATGCCTTACACAGCCCATTCCAGGCACAACGGCCCCTCCAGTCATGCTGCACTGTCAGGGCAGGAGGTTTAATGCTACACAAATCACTGCAAAACAAAGAGAAGTGGGGAAGCTTTTTTTTTCCCCACTCCTCCAAACAAATGGATGCTGGAAGCCAATCCAGAGTGGATTGATTTCCAGCTTATTCTGGACAATTTGTCAATTTTGAAAATACTCCCCACAGATAAATCTAACAAGCAACTATCCACACTAAGAAAGCAATTTCTGTTTACTTTTGACATTTCTAGACAAAGATATAATACTATTAAATGCACTAAGCATTAAATTGCAATCTATTTCCCCTCTGCAGGAAAGCATTAGGATGTGATCAGGCCAAGCTGGCAGCTCACACACCTTCAAAGTACTGTTTAAATCCTTGTTATTTTTGGGAAATTTCTATCAATGCCAGTTTGCTGCACAAGCTGGAGGATGAGCCATGGGAACAGCAACAAGAGATGTGTATTTTTTGTAGTTTGGCCACTGTGCTACAGCGTGACCTTAAGGAAGTCACTTCAACTCTTGATTCTTCGTGCTCTAAATATAACGAACTTTCTGGCTAGGATAGTTTCTGATACATTTTGCTGCTGTGTCCTTTTGGTTAATTCAGAACCTTCTCATTTTCCATACAAGAGTATAATAGAGAATAATATAACTCTATATTATATGTCACACTAATTTAAGCGTATTTTTAATCATAAATAATGGGAGATTATATAGTGTTTGTTTGAAGTCAGCTCTAGGACCTGACATTAGGCCTGTGTAAGTCCTTTGAGATATAGATACATATATAAAGAACTGCTCCTAAATACTATTTGATGGTATTTTGGTTAAGGTATTGTGATCAACTTTCAAGCACATGCACCATATATTCATATTCCTCTTTCTTATTGTAATACTATGTTGATCCTGAAGTTGTGTTTCCCCATTTAGGGGTGTTTAACTTCCCAGAACACCATGGCTGGGAAATTACTGGTAACCAGCTCTGGCAGTGGCTGCACCCACAGAGTGTTTCCAAGAGCGGCTGGAAGTTCATGTAGAAGTTGGACACAAGAGCACGGAGAGTCTCTGTGGATGGCACTGAGGACTTCTACTGTGAGTATTGTGGCTACTGAACACTGACTCTGCCCCTGAGTATGTTCTCCCAAGGAACTTGTAAGTTGAGTTCTCTAATAACCTCCTTTAGCTCTGTTTATTCTCCTTTAGCTCTATCTATTTCCAGGCTCCTCCTATTGAATACCACAGGAATTCTCTCTATCATGTTGACTGCAATTTGAATTTAAAACAACATAAAATGACCAAAAAGACAAACTAACAAAGCCAAATCCAAACAGGTTTAAGACCTACAAATATTATCTCTTTTCCTTGAAGGAAAATTGCTTAAATGAAGTGATCATCTATTTTTTTGATGTTTTCTGATCATTAAAAACAAAACAGATGAAGATTAATGAAGTAAAAATTAAACCCCATATTGAGATTTAACCTCTGGTCATTTCTGTTGATTATAGGCCTATAAAGCAGGGCAGGACATTGATAAATAACATGTAACTGTAAAACCATAAAGCTGCAGCTAGCTAGAACATCTCTAAATAATTAGTGTTTGATTCATATGGGAAGAAAACAGTGCCAGGTCTATATCCACATTACCTCAAGAGGGAAATCCTTTATGCTGACATCTACAAAAGATTGGCAGTAATGAGGATCCATGTAAATCAAACTGTCATCTACAAGGACAAAACAGAAGACAAGTAATTCAAAAAACACCTTATTATTACACTGCTTACAATCCAATTTCTATGCAGAACAGCTGGAAAAAAAAAAGCCAGGGAGTAACTGCTTGCCAGGCTGATACTCATTGACTGGAGCAGAGGTTTTTGCAGGACAGATTAACTTTTGCATAATCAAATCTGCTTGTATAAGCAGAATTTTTATAAAGTGATGAAACTGTCATTTAATTTTTGGTGCTAAAATTACTTTTACAAACACACAATTATATTCTGGGGTTTGCATATGAAAAATGTATCACACTGCTTCATCCTGACAGGGAAAATATATTGCTTGTCATTTAAGCATCAACTAACACCACTTAAACAGGGAAAAAGTAAATACCTAAATAAGAACTGCCAGGCAGGAACAGCAAATGCTCCTCAAGTTTGGTGAAACAGATAAATTATGCCTTGTTTATGCAACAAGGGAAACTAAATGTACATTTTACAGAATCCAATTACTCCATGGGGTAAATGACAAATGGCTGGACTTGGGAAGATATGATGAATTAATAAGGTACTCATTTTGCTATTTTAATCATGCTTTTTCCCACTGGTTCAATATTAACTTTCTAACTCTGAGAGAAAAAAAACATTGAAGAGACATAACACATTAAAACACTAACCTTGGAATCCAGCAAAGTAATATGACTGCTTGGGTTTGCCACCAATAATTCCAACACAATACTCCAGGCTTAAAATTCCCTACAAAAGAACACGAAATAATCAGGGTAGTGTTAGCAAAGTAAGTATTAGGCTGAATTAAAATATTTTCTCTTTGATATTTTAGGCAAATAGGGTTTTTTGGAGGTGCTTTTAAAGGCTTCAAGCCCCAGACTTTCTGGGGCTTGACCCAAGTGAAAACACACCACCAGATATTCCAGAGAAATTCCTCCCCTTCCATGAGATTCCAACACATTGAGGGAATGGGCACCATTATTCTGGGGAAGGAGACACAGCATCGTCTCATACACATTGAGAACAAGGTGATTAGTCAAAATATATCAAAGTATTGAGCTTTACAGCTTTCACACACATTTTCACTCTGTGGACATGGGGACTCTCTTCTTTTTGCATTCAAATGGACAAGTGTGGCCAGAGCATCAGCTTTTACATCCTGGGGAGAAATGCCACTTGAAGCAAGACTAATTACAAGATCCAGCTCTAAAACAGCTGCCCAAAATCCAGGGAGGAGAGACAAACACACAGCAGACAGAACACAGAAATCTCACTGGATGCTGCCTGTGAGGGCAGAGGAATCAGAACCATTAGTGTACAGCAACTCTAAGAAAGGGACAGTACAAATGCACCAGGTTTAAGAGGGACATAGGGTGAAACACAGGAATCACTTTAGTCTGGAGTTGGAAAGAAAGGAATGGACTTCTCCACGGCAAAACCAGGAGCCACTGAGGACACAGAGTTGGGTTATCAGCTGTGGGCTATGGTCATGCCAGTGTATTTCTTCTCATCCAGGCTGAAAAGGGCTGGGATCAACTGAGCAGACTTATTACTTAATAAAACCTTGATTTTATGGATATACCTTCTAGTGCTGGGGACAAGGATTCACCTGCAGACAGAATGTTTTGCTAAGGGGAGAACATTTCAGCAGTTTAACTGCCTGAAATTCCTCTATCCCCACAAGCTCTGGATGCAGACACGGCCAACAGACACCAGGGAAAACATCCGTAGACATTCCTCTTATCACAAGGCATGGAAGAAGGCGTGGAGGACTTTTCTCCCTCTCCCTTCAAATATTCCTACTCTTCTTGCTTTCATGAGATTCTGCTCCGTAACAGGAATCTCCAGTCTTGGCTTAGCACTCTCCTCCATCACTTATCCCACATTTTCCATCAGTTATCCCACCAACTTCAGTAGGAGCTGCATTTTGCCAACACTGAGCACTTAGGAAAGTCAATTAAGCACATGACCATTAAATATACTGAAAACTGAAGAGCCTTTAAGTGTCCATAAATCACAGTGGGTTTCTTGTGGCACTGGGCAAGTGTTGGGTCCAAAAACTTGGATACTGGCCCAAACTGGGATAGAAATCCAGAAAACTAACAGTTGAGGCACAGGTTGATCTCCATTACCTGGAGGACACATCTCAGTCCTCTCCTCTAAGAGATTCACCATCCAAAGTAAAACCATTGTATTATCACTGTGTAAGTAGAGAAAATTTCTCTCAACAAAAAGATTGATATTATACTGAGACCAAAGCTTCTTGAGACAGAATTTTCCCTGCTTAGACGAGATACAGTAACTTAAAAACCTCAGCTGAGATGCTACAGAGTCAACTTCAACATGGTTTATATGGGTTAAGAAAGTGCTGCTCATTTAAAATATGAATGAGAAGGTTTTCTCAGAAAACTTCTTTAAAATATGAATGACTAGGTTTTCCTAGAAAACCAAGGCTGACACAGCCAAGGAGGACACATCCTCTGCCAGTGGACCAGAAAGGGAGCAAAGCTCCCCAGAGTAATGGATAACTGCTTAATCTATGGGAAGCTTCTTGTAAAAGTGAATGATAAAAAATTTATCCATTTTCATCCATTAATATAAAATCCTTTGTAGAAATTACCTCTTGTACTCCGCTCTAAAATCTGCATTTTTAACTTAAATGCAGATCCCAAGAAATGTAGTCACTTCTTGGGAGCAGTCAAGGCAGAGCCTGAAGTGACTAATACACGCAATTGAAATCCCTCTTATCACAGCCTCCAGTAGGCTGGAAAGGCAGGAAAAGGCTTGGGAAGTGAGCAGTAGGAATCACAGGGCGAAGTCAGCTGCACTGGCTAAAAAAACTAACGCTTTTCCAAACCCAACTGTCTGAAAACACAAGGAAAGAAAAACAATTCAAGTTCATCAAAGCTTCACTAGTCTTTTCCCATGCCAGTAAAAACCAAATGCTGTCCTGAAATTATACAGCAAAGAGACAGTCACAAATAAAAGGATGCCACAGACTCTCAGCTTTTGTTCATGCTACTTCATTGCAGTGTTTTTAAAATGGAAATGAGAATTTGAAGTCAGATAAAGAACAGCATGGAAAGGCAAACAAAGGATAAGAGGACAAGCTCTCCCCTAAGAGAAGCAAGAGGCAGGATTACAGCTCATCTTCAGGTGTCAGCACCACTGCAGAACCTCTGCTGCAGAAAGGACAGCACAGACCTTCCTCCACTCTGCTTTCTCCTTCAGTTTTACTTTTTCCCAGCTCCTTTTTATTTGTGGTAACTGCATCATTGTCCTCAGAAATGCTCACTCAGATAGAAAAAAACACCTGAAGTAGTGACTAAAGATAGCAAATAATTCCATCCCCTCTCTTAACGGGAAGAAAAAGACAAAACAAAATGGGAAGAACAGACAAAGAACAACCTTAAGCATTTGACATTTAAACAAATAAGACACAGAACGAGGAACTGAGTATATTTATATTTTAAAACACTGCCTGGTCCTTAGTTACATATGCTATTAGAGTTGTGCTATATTAAATTACCATTTGTAATTTGAGCCACTGCATTAATGCCTTCTCAGGTAGCTGCTGGAGGAGCAGGACAGTTATCACTGCTTCACCAAGGGACATCATGTGCTCTGCAATTATGTCTGATCTTGTAATAGGGAAATTTAAAATCTGTAAAGTCAAACTTTACAACCTTCAACTGTAAAATCCACACCACACATTTAATGGGGAGAAGATTACCATCATGAAGTCACTTTTCCTATCCCCTTGTGCTACTCTTTGAAAAATGATTGAAATCTCATTTCATACCTTTACAAACTCCAAGTAGTCGGTGTTTGTTCTCTCTCCACCAAGTCTCACAGGAACTAATATAATTACAGCTTTTGTGTCTGCTTTTCCAGAATCCATGAAGGAACACTGTCTGTCAATAACATCTGAGCTGTAGACTGAAAGGAGACACAGAGAAATACTCAGATGTAAAACATAACCTCTAGCTTTGACAGAGACACACCTACAACATGGCACCACTTAGCCTGACAAACTAAAGCTGCAGCACTTCCAAACCTTCCTGAAATACAACTCCTGGGTGTCTGATCAAAAACTGTCTTGTGCCTCCTCATTTTCAGCAATATTTTGCAGAACGGTAATTGCTGCTACTGCTGATATAAGTTACATCACCAAAGAAATGCAGGAGGGGTAGGTTAGGAGAAAGCCAATAAATATTTATTCACTTCATATAAACTTCTGAAAGGAATAATTACAATTTGAAAGACTACAACTGAAAGACATCTGCTCCTTTAAAGGAATAAAGGCCATAATTGCTTTTAGTCCATGCTCAGGTTCACTGTCTAAAGTTAACACAAAAGTCATTGAAAATGAGGGGAAAAGCTTAATGTGGTGTTAGTGCTTACTCCCTCCAAACTGAGAGAGATACAAGAATCATCTGAGAACAAAAAATTGCAAAACTAAAGTTTCAGTGTCATTTTAAGTCAGGTGAAACTGGTTTGATTAACCAGTGCCTCTCTAAAACCAGTCTGATTGATCCCCAGGGATGTGGGTCCTGCCTGCCCAATCCCAAGCTCAGTTATGACATAAATAAACTCCTGGCAGCTGAATGTGGATCCTGGAGGAACACACTGTGCTTGGATTTGAAAGAACACAGTCATTAATGTGAGGTTTATCTTGTTATCATGTTCTGCTCCTGAGCACTCTGAGCTCTAAGCTGCTCTGCCTGTTAGAGATTATTTGCAGTGCCAGCTTGGAGCAGCAGAAAGGTGACAATGGCCTTGGCTTCACCATGCTGCTCACATCCCAAAAATTACCTCCTGCTACTCTAAGACTCAGGCAATCGCTTTTTCCACTAGAAAAATAAGTAAAGTGATGCAAAAGACAAATCAAGTGTAACCAACAAATCTAACTGAAGTATTTTTCACTTCATTGGTTTTCAGGGTTGATTTTTAGTGAGATAGAGAAATTCTTATTAGCTTCTTGCTAAAACAACACTGAAGCAAATACAAAATAGATTATTAACTGACTCCAAAATAAGAATTGTAAGGCAGATTGTAAGGAAAAGTTATCTTGCTGGATTTGGAATTCCACTGTCTTCCACTGTAAAATATCAAACGAGCAATGTACAAAGGGAATCTGCATGTATCAAGAATCCTGTTGTCTGCATATAACCTCAGTTTTGTGGGTCCATTTTCAGTTTACTTTTTTCCTTTAGAGTTCTGTTGCAAATGCTTAGTGAAAGGCATTGAAAGCATCTAAAATGTTTGCAAAAATCACAACATTTACCTGTGCAGTCCTGAGCAACATAGACTGTTACTCCTTGCAGCTCAGGGTCTCTTGCTTCTTCCACAGCTTTTCTGAGTACAAACACAAAACTGTTGAACTCACCACTCATTTTAAAAAAATATTAACAGTAAATAAACATAAAGTATTCGAGTTTTAATTGTTACAGGGTGTTTTGTTTTGTTTAATTTAAAACACCTTCCCCTCCTGACAAATACGGGTGGAGGGCCTGGGAGTGCTTTTTTTTGTTTTTAGACACTGGACCCCAAGTTCCAGTGTACATGACAACATATTTACCCAAGCAAAGATGCCAATGTCAAGCTATTTAGAAGGAACAATTAAACCCACAAAAACCAGTGCCAAACCCCACATTAACGCACAATGAAATTCATATTCATAGAATCACATAATTTTAGAGTTTGGAATGGGCCTTACAGATCATCTAGTCCCAACCCCCCCTGCCCTTTTTTCTGTTTATAACAATTTCCTGTCACGTATATTGATGCTAAAGGCTAAGTTCGCTGATGAAACTATTATTTTCAACTCAACAGATCTCTTTATTTGACCTCAGCTCACATAACCAGCCAAAAATTAGCACCTGGTGTCTATGGAGATAAAGACTAGACATAAAAAGCTGTAAAGTTTCACCAAAACTTCCAAAAATATCATTAGAATATTAGGCTCCCCTCAAAAAAAAAAGAGTAATGGACCTAAAAACTAGAAAGAAAATACAAGTCAGTAGTCAGAAACATGGTCATCAATCAAGGACAACATCTGTAAAGAAATTAAACTGCTCAAAGCAGAAGATTAGCCTTTGACTTCACCACATACTTGCATTAAATGGTCACTATCCCTTTATTTCCCACTAGATTTTGAGGAATCATTTAACACAGTCATTCCCAAGTTATGAGGGAGCTGTACATTGTTAGTGCTGCTGTGAGAGAAAGAGAACTAGGAAAGGAAACCTTTGCAGGGCTGGAAATCACCACTGGGGTTGTGATGTCTGTACCAAATCCTCCTCTGATGCCATGAGGGAAACAGGAATTTAATACGGAATTTAAGGGAAGCAAAAAGAATTCTGACAGCTTCCAGCATCAGGAAAAAGCAGAATAATTCACATTAATAATGCTGAAGTCCTACCTCCCTGGATGTACACCTCATTATTTCAGTACAGCTGCACTTCAGGTTAGTACACTCTTACACTCAATATCAAATTCTTCTGTTCATATCTATAGAAATACATGAACTTTGGCTGCATAAATTACTTATTAGTGGTTCAGTTTATAGGTAAACTGGAATCCACTAAGAAAATAAGCATATAAGACTATAACCCCCCATCCCCAAAATGCTCCAAGAAAAGGCACATAAAGACACAGTATGGAGAAATTTGACTTTAGATTTTTTTCTAACCACGCTGAATGTCACAGACCCTTTACTTTTACTGGGATATAATTATAGTATTAATAGTCCCATACATTTACAGTTTCCCAAGAATTTGATGTGTGCAAAGAAATGCTGAAAACATCAATTTTAGCTCTGACATTTCATTACACTATCAGTACATTACAGCCCCCAGGTTACAGGGGAAGGAAAAAAAACTCCCTAATGTTATGCATGTTCCAAGGTTGAAAGAGTGGTTAGTTTTTAGAACATTTCATTAAATGCAGCTCTGCTTAAAAGGTCTGAGAGAGATCCTTGGGATTCTACTGCAGGAAATCTGGAATGTTGTCTTTATTCCTGGAATAAGATTGACAAAAGCTCAGTGTTCAGCTCCGGTGCCTACAGCTAGTTCCCTTCCTGCCTCCTGGAATTGCTACCGATAAGGAGGTTTTACAAAGCCAGTAATGCACAGTTTGATGCTGAGGTAATCTCAGGACAGTTTGAAATGTTTCGGGGTAAAACAAGACACGTTACCTCAAAATGTGTGCGACAACGGCAGGCCCATACCAATCCCCTGCCATCTTCCCAGACTTCTTTCCGTGCTCTATGAGCTGATGTAAGCCAAAAGCTGCCAGTGGAGAGTCCCCAAACCAGGAGATGATTTTTCTGTGGTAGACCTCATTCCTCATCTCACTGACATCACAGTTTCTCCTCGGTGTGGCTCTCCGTGGATGTGAGAGGATCTTGGGGTCCCTCTCTGCGGTGAGCGATGCCTCGAAGGATGCTGTGAGCTTCCTCACCGTGTGGGACGTCCACGACTCCGAGTCGGAGCCGTCCATGTCCAATGCCTCTGGCCAGACCCAGGCTGTTAAAAATTAACATGCTTATTAGGCTTAAATATTAACTTTTTAGAATCTTAAACAGCATTTCCCTTTGTCCCCCAAGTGCCTTAAAGCAATAATATGTATTTTACATGCAAATGTCACTGTTAAAGTGTAAACACAGAATTCCTGTAAAGCAGGATTTGCTTTGAGTTTCTGCTGAATGACAGATGAAATAAAGTGCCACAGTTGTTAGGGATTTTTGTTATCTGATCTAGAAGTCAGACTCCACCATCCCCATCAGTTAAATAAACAAGAGATACCTCATGACAAGAACTCTCTTACATACTAAAATCATGAACCTTAATGATTCAGTACTGCCCAAAATAGTTTTATTCATGTCAAATAAGAAGTTTCATAAGCTGTTTTTAATTCTCATTTATCTGTTATTAAAAAACTAAGCAAACCTAGGGAATTATTCATGTAAAAAACACCTCTTCCTGGCAAAATGTCAAAGCAGATCAGCAGAAAAATAGACAAGATTTCCTTATTCACTAAATTCATGGATTCTTTAGGTTACAAGACAAACTGGTTTAAAGATCATTCAGCACAGTATGTAGAGCCTGCATTTCTAGCTGAAGGTTTCTCCAAGGATGCATCCTACACAGCATTCCTCCTACAGCAGAACGGGGATTCAGCACAACTAGGGAACAGCCACATGACGAATTCTCTTCCACAAGCTCTAACAACTACTTGTAACACAAACCCAGGCAGGTGCATGTGTAAGCTCAGAGTAAGATCCTCACAGTCCTTGCTGTTCGTGTATTGTCACCTTCACATTCCAGTCAGTGTCTCACAAGCATCTCAAACTAAAACTCAGTGCCTTAACATTGAAAGCAAAACCTCATTCACCACATCACTCAGCAATATCTGGAACACTCCACAGCACAGTGTAAATGCAAGTTTCCCAGCTAGGAGCTGCAGCGAAGTTTTGCTTTGTAACAGAAACATCACCATTAAACTAGAATGAAAATATCTCTGGGAAAAGGGTAAACAGCCATGAAAAACTTCGTGCAAACACTTAAATATGTTTGCAGAGCTGCCCAGAACTCATAAAGGGCTTTTCAAAAGATAATTCACCAGCTGTCAGAAGAGCAGGTGAGAAGCAAAGTACTCCAGAAAGACCATCCATACCCTGTTTTCCTGTGCATGTGGATTGCCACAGGATCACTAGCACTCTGGAATCAGCCCATCACCTTCCAAATGAGGATGCATGGGGGACAGGCAAGAAATTCTTTGGCACCATGGATCATAAAGACAGGAACCTGGGGCTGTTTTGTTTGT